GCGCGTTTGAGCGCTGCAGCGCAAATCTTCGACGGAAAATGTGTTCGTGTATTTTAGTGATCTGAAAAGGTCTCGAACCATTGTATCTATTTGTGATATGTTTTCTCACATATCTGAGCACTTATTAACAATAGAAATAACTATTGTTATAAGTGCATCAGCATATAAAAGATAACCATCAAATTGAAAAGGTATCTTTATGTGAAAGGTTGTAACACTTAAAGAGGATGGATGCATCCCTGTCTTTATATGATGGACTTCAGAAAATACAGATGACATACATTGTTCTGAAACTCAATATTTTTGCTGGATATTGTGTTCAAGGGTTTGTTGTATCTTGGGGGTAATTTGCCATTTAGAACTCGTTAGCAAACTTTGAGAAGTGATGGCAAATAAAACCTTTTCATCCTCCCAAATCTGAATTTCTAACAAACTGTGTCGAATCTGTCTACAGCTGCAGTACCACCTAATCTTGTTGAGCCTACACCGGTTGGTAAGCCAGAAAACATTATGCCAGCGACTCCAATTGTTTCCGGGATGAGACAAAGGCATGTTTCACATTCACTCTCTGGTTATGATTATGTTTTACCCCCCTCTCTCGGTTCTTCAGAAACCACACCTCACTCAACTACTCCTTCAGCCAACTCGACGGTACATCCTCTTTCTCACTCTATTTCTTATTCCAAGTTTTCTCATGCTCATACTACCTTCTTAGCGACCATCTCGTCCACCGATGAGCCAAGATCATTCTTTCAGGCAGTCAAACATGCACATTGGAGGGATGCCATGGCAAAGGAGATTTTTGCCTTGGAAGCCAATCATACTTGGCCTTTACAGCCATTGCCTCCTGGAAAACGAGCTATCAACTCCAAATGGGTTTACAAAGTCAAATATCATCCAGACGGGCGCATTGATCACTATAAGGCGCGATTTGTCGCAAAGGGGTACACTCAAATTGAAGGTGTTGATTTTCATGAAACATTTGCTCCCGTTGCCAAGTTAGTTACGGTACGATGTTTATTAGCAATCGCTTCGATCAAGCACTGAGAATTACACCAACTGGATGTGAATAATGCCTTTCTGCATGGGGATCTGGAGGAAGAAGTCTATATAGAAATTCCGCAGGGATTTGCCAAAGAGGGGGAGCAACGGGTTTGTCGGCTACAAAAATCCCTTTATGGACTTCGTCAAGCATCTAGAAATTGGTACCAAAAGTTTACAGCCTCTCTTCTTGAAATTGGCTTTCAGTAGTCAAATGTGGATCACTCCTTGTTCACCCTTTCTCGTGAAGGATCTTTTGTTGCAATTCTCATCAATGTTGATGATGTCATCATCACCGAAACAGACTCCGCTCGCATCTCTAAGCTAAAACGCTACCTGGATACTAAGTTCTACATTAAGGATTTTGGGAAACTCAAGTATTTCCTTGGAATTGAAGTAGCACGATCATCCAAAGGAATTACTTTAAGTCAACGCAAGTACGCCCTCGATATCTTTGCTGAGAGTGGTCTCACGGGCTGCAAACCAGCTTCTTTTCCCATGGACCAACAACACAAACTCTCACTTGAATCTAGCACGACTTGCATTGATCCGGAGCGCTACCGTTGTTTGGTAGGTCGATTGCTTTACCTCACCATCACTCGCCCAGACATCATTTATGCAGTGCATATTCTTAGTCAGTTCATGCATGCACCACGACAATCACAACTTGATGCGGCGTATCGAGTGTTGCGATATCTCAATGGCAATCCTAGACAATGTATTTTACTTCTTACAAATGGTCCGTTATCTTTACGTGCGTACTGCGATGCAGATTAGGCTGGTTGTCCAATGACACGCAAATCCACAACTGGCAACATGATCTTTCTTGGCGATTCACCCATTTCTTGGCGATCCAAGAAACAAACAGTAGTCTCTCATTCCGCTGCTGAGGCAGAATATCGCGCCATGGCGGCTACAAAGGCTGTTACGTGATCTTTAAGTAAAATGCACTTCTCCAATTCCCCTCTTTTGTGACAATCAAGCGGCCATTCACATTGCGGCAATCCCCGTCTTTCACGAGCGAACAAAACATATTGAAATAGATTGTCATTTTATCCGGCAACACATTCAATCAAAGACAATTGTCACTTGTTCTATTTCTTCCCAAAACCAGTTGGCTGACATATTCACTAAGGCACTCGGCCGTGATCGGTATCATGAGTTGTTAGTAAAGTTGGGCATTTCTACACTCTATGCTCTAACTTGAGGGGGAGTACTGGAAATCCTGCTATACATACCATATCTACATGCACGTAATTATAGGAATGTTGACTTATTCCACCTAGCATAGCTGTAGAGATAGCTTTCTTTATTTGTACAATTTTGTGCTGATTGTAATAGCCTAGAGTTAAGGATTAGATTGAGTTTGTACCGCTATATAACAAAGGATTCATCAATGAGAACGATAACCAATTTTGGTGATTTCATTACTTTTACCCATCACCAATCCAATAGTAATTGGTAAAGACTTTATAGTTGTTTCTTAGATTCTAGCGAGGCTTCTCCGGACATCAACTAAATTGACAGAGCACCACACAATCAATATTGTTCTTTAAAATGAATGCCTATAAATTTTTGTTCTCACTTAGCTAAAGATGTGAGCAACTGGTTTGAGCTTTGTAAATACAATTGACAGAAAAATATGTGTAATACCGTTTTAAAAATAAATAATAATTATAAAAGGAACAATAAACAGAAAAGCTAGATACGAAATACCATCAATGGTGATCATCAATAGTAAAAACTATTATGCAATATTCTGCTTGTTTCTATGCTGTAGCATGTGGTCTAAATTGATATGTATGACTTGTTCTCTTAGTCAATCTCAAAAATACCATGCACAGAAATTGGTAATATAAGATTACAGAAGACGAATGGCACACGATGTGAGTTCGGTTATAACTTATAAATAGTAACTATAACCATCTATTATATAGGAAAAAGATAAAGTTAAGCCAAAGAAATATATATGTATTATATATATACAAGTGTGTTTTAATAGTTATTACAATATCTACTCATCAATGAGTATTATTATTTTAACTCAAAAATATTAATCTGATAGTTATAATAAATTAGATAATTAATTAAAAAAATTATGATAATTAATGATATTATATTATTATCACGTCGCATAATTAAATTTCTATATTCTAGGGTAAGTACGGATGAAAAACATAACCAAAACTCTTCCATTTCTACCATATTGAGCAAAATACCTTTACTCGCTCCATAGTGAAGGCCTGCACAGCGATCCTCCTATGCAATGCCCATTTATGGCCCTCCAATCCAGCGAGTCCCTGCCCAAAGAGTTGCCTATTCGAAGGGTTAAACCCAATCTTGGTAATGGACCCACTGGTGTTCATAAGCACCTCTTTTATCAAATCCGGGTCGGATATCGCCACCCGAGGCGTCGTCCCATACCAGTACAGGAAACTCTCACCGTACATGCGGGACCACCGCCGGTAGAATGGGGCCGCGTATTCGACGACGTCATTCTCAACCAGAGTTGACTTCGGCTTAGCCTTAACCTCCTCGAACATTCGTATGATTTCCTTCGTGTTCCCGAAGAAGATCGGTCTGTACCTTGGACCCCGCACGCCTTGCTTCGAGAACTGGCTCTGAATCCTTAGTGGGACGCATATGATTGAGTACGCGAGTTTCAGGAGGGTTATGAGGAGGATAAGAGCGAGTATAAGAAGAAGATGATTCATAATTATGCGTGTAACGTGAAAATCTATTGAGATGTCCAGAAATAGGGAGTTCGAGCCTTGAGGAAATGATTCAGTGATTATTGGGTTTAGAAATGAAGTTGAAGATTATTTAATAACGGTAATATGTTTGCTTTTGTTTGCGTTTTCTAGATTATGTAAAACTATATGTATCTGCAAGTGGATGTTATTATTTATGATTTTATAGAGCTAGAAGCGGCATAAAAGGACAGCTTGGGGAACCATGTTCTGTTTGTTTGTTTCTTTTTTCTTTTTCTTTTTTTTTTCCAGGAAACTACTTGGTATAGGCTATGACAAAATACTTATACTGGGGAATATCAGAATCAATATTATTAAACAAAATATGCAATTTAATGAAACTTATAAAAAAATGACCGTTAAAATTTGTGTAATTCTCTCCTTTCTTCTTTTCAAGTGTTATGGAATTTAGGAGCTAGAGTTTGATATATTAATCCTTAAAGTTTCACATATCGAACGTCATTACAGGCGCACACAAAAAAAAAAAAAAAAAAACGGTCAGCTGCTATTTCTTTTACATATAATCAGAAGTACATTACAAGTTAAAAAGGACGTTAAACAGAACCTTGGATATCTTCTTCTTCTCACTTATAATTCCCTTTTTCTTTGGCTGCTAATTTTTCAAGTTGAAATCCTCCTCAACAAGATTTGAGCACCATATTTGGGCTGCACTGTTATGAACAACATAGGGGCATGAACATATGTGGGTGATAATGTGAGAGAATACCGCTGGATGATGATGACCAATATTATTTTGGCCTCAACCATGGCTAGATTTTGGCCTGCGCAGACTCTAGGACCCAACCCGAATGGAAAGAAAGAAGCTATGTGCTTTCTAGGCTCAGTGAATCTCAGTGGATTGAACTTATTAGAGTCTTCTCCCCATATCTCAGGGTCATGATGCACAGCAAGCAGAGCTGAATAGAGCTGAGTCTTAGCAGGAATGTCTAGATTCCCTACCTTGACTCTCTTTGATGTTTGTCTCATTATCATCACTGCTGGAGGGTAAAGTCGAAACGTTTCATTGATTATCATTGTCACCTGCAGAGATTGAATGAATTAGCTCCAGTAAGATTAATATCTTTTCTTGTTCCATTATTTGAAAACTTACAATTTTGAGGTCACTTAAGTTCTCTGCTTGTGGAAGCCGGTCATATCCGCAGAAGCGAACTACTTCTTCGCGAGCCTTGGTTTGCCATTCCTGATGTTGAGCTAAAAGGAGAAGGGCCCAAGTCAAGAGATTGGCAGTTGTTTCCTTTCCTGCGAAGTAGAAAGTCTTGCATTCATCTATGATTTCCTCTACTCCTAGTTTCTCTTCATGTCCATCCTGATTTTTGTGAGGAGACATCAACAAAGTAAGTAGATTTCTTGAATTCTCTCTTGTTTTGTTATTTGTCATGATAAGCCTCCGCACCAATTCGCGAGTTTCCTTCTCTAGTCTCCACCTCTCTCTATTATCCTTGGTAGGCAAAAACCTGCGTTTAAAATATAAAAGTCAATAAAACTCGCTTCTTATCTTATTTTTTCTCTCGTTTACTTTGTCACGCTCTACCGATTCAAATTGTTACATTTGGAATAAGTTTAGTCATGCGTAATAATCTAATTCTTAGTAGCAAATAAAAAGAAAAAGTCACCTGAATCCAGGAATATAAACACTTCTTATTCCCTTGGAGAAAAGATGCATTTGCTCTTCTTGTAAGTCGAAAATGCGCTTCCCTTCCTCAAAACTGCTTCCAAAAGCTGTCCTTGAAATAACGTCAGCCGAGACTTCATGAAGTTCTTTGTGCACATCTATCTCAAATTCATCTCTCCCTCCTCTAATGTCCTCCCACTTCTCAAGCCTCTCCATAATACTAGTCACCATATCTGGCACCCAACTCTGATAATGACTCAAAAAAAAAAAAAAAAAGCGAGGTGTTAGATTGTCCTATACTATACCAACCCAATCATCCTATCTTCACAATCTTAGAATTTAATTCCTATGAACTATCTAATATATTTGAAAATTTGAACCATTGAAAATTGGTTGTGAACATTAAATCATATAATAGTTGGAAAGATAAATAATTTGACAAAAATGTGACCGTCTTGTTCGTTGCACAAACATGTCATAACCAATCCCCTTCTATGTTACTTCTTTTTAAGAAAAAGTAAAATCACACTACTAGTATGTTTACAAATAATTCAATGGTAATTATTATAATGATTCTTACATTTTATGCTACAAAATGACGTAATAATTATTATGATGATTATAATACTTATTATTTAAAAAATATATTTACTACATTCTCTTTTAAATTAAAAAAAACAGAAATGGTAGAAAATAAGAAAGTTTAAGGAAGTATATAGGTTAATTTTTAGTTATAGAAATTAATAAGTCATAATTTGTCAAGTTATGATTCATAATTAGATAAATTATGATTCATAGTCAGACAAGTTACGGATAAAAATCGTGATTTATAGACAATAACTTATTAAGTTATGATTTATAACCAGACAAATTATAAACAAAAATAATAATTTAATCTATTTATTAATTTATATAAATTATTAACTTATTAATTTTAATTCATCTCAAATTTAATTTATTTTTTTTATTCTCTTAAAAAAAATGGAAGGAAAATGGAAGGAAAGTAGGAGAACCTTTACTCGCTCCATACTAAAGGCCTGGTTTGCAATTCTCCTGTGCAAAGCCCATTGGTCGCCCTCCAGCCCAACAAGGCCGTCGGCAAAAAGCTGCTTACTCAGCGGGTTATGCGGGACTTTCCCAAACGACCCACAAGTGTTCATAAGCACGGCCTTGATCATTTCCGGGTCCGCAATCGCCAACCTGGGCTTGGGCCCAAACCAATATAGGAAGTTCTTCCCGTACATGCGGGACCACCGGTAGTAAAAAGGAGACGCGCTTCGAACGACATCGTTGTCGGTCAGATCAGATGACTTCGGCTTAATTTCCGAGTACAGACGGCGGATCTCCGCCGAGTTTCCGAAGATCAGTCGGTAGCCAGGGCCTCGCACGCCTTGCTTTTGGAAGTGCCTCTGAGTCTTCCATGGAACCCATATTAACGAGTAAACGAATTTCAAGAAGATGATCACGAGAAGGAGAAGAACAAGAACGATAAACAGAGGCATGATATTATGAAAATTTATCAGAAATCAAAGCGAAAGAGAGACTCTGAGAGAGCTTCTGGAAGGGCGAAGAGATGAAGAATGTTAGTTCAGTAATTGAAGTGGAAAAATATGTTCGCAAGACTTGAATGTCAGGATTATTGCTTTGCTAAGTGCTGACGCTGTTTATATTATTCTATTTATTTATTTTTTAATTCTCGGTGAAAAACTGTTAAGAGCAACGCGTTTGAAATTCGTTTTAAAATAATTTTATTTTTTATATGAAAATAAAAATAAAAACGTTTTTATTTTTATTTTAAAATTATTTTTAAAAAAGTGTTTGGTAGTTTTATTCTAAAATTATTTTTAATTTAAAAAAAATTAAAATTGTATTTAGTAGTTTAATTTTTAAAAATATATAATAATATTTAAAATAATAATATATTAAATAACAAACTAATATTTAATATTATTAGATCTACAAAAATCAAAAACTCAGATCAAGATAATATCACAAACTCAGGACTAAACGAACAAAAAACTTACAAATCAGATCTGATAACAAAAAAATCGTCAAAAACTTGCTCCCTCCATCTCTGCAAATCAGATCCGCTGCCGCCACCTCCACATCCCAGCTCTGGCAAGCCCAGGCAAATCCCACTGCCAACTTCACGGCCAAGCTCCGGCGAGCCCAGGGAATCACGCTGCCACCTCTGCGGCTGTGATTCTGTGAAAGTTTGCACATCTCCGACTCGCGACAATCTTCGGTGGAGCACGAACCACTAGTTGTCGTCATCCACATCGGATTTGATGCAGATATTCGAGAGAGAACAGAGCGGAGGGAGGAGAGAGAAAGAGCACAGCGAAAGCCTTCACGACGTGGATGATAACTGAGTCGAGTTCTCCGGTGCAATTCAAAGGAGGGAGAAGGAGCAAAAACAACAGCGACGATATCGGCTTCTTTGTCTTCACTCGCGAGATCAGAGATCGGCGAGATTGAAAACTCCGACAAGAACCATATATGAGTACTCCCAATTAGTGTCTTTGTTTTCCCTCGCGAGATCGGAGTCACGAGTCTGAGAACGGCGTCCTGATTCCGGGGAAGAGAGAGAAACGTGGGGAGAGGAGAGAGAGAGAGAGATTGGAGAAGAGAGCCAGAGCGAAAGAGAGAGATGTCTGATGATTAGGGAAGAGAGAGAGAGGACCGTGGGAGATAGATGGGAAGAAGAGAGAGAGAGAGAGAGATCAGTCCGTTTTCATTTTTTATCCTCGAAGAGTTTACACTGGTCAAGGGTAGAAAAAAAAAATTCAGAGAGAAGAGAGAAAAGGAAAACGGAGAAAATGAAAACAGTCTTAAATCATTTTCAGATTTTCAGAAAAGGACAAAGACATTTTTGTTTTCAATTTTTAAAAAATTGTTGCACCAAACGCGTTTTGTCTGTCCGTTTTCATTTTTTATTCTCGAAAAACATGAAAAACGTTTTTAAAAACGAAAACAACCGGGCACAACATTTTTTTCTTCCCCTTTCTAAATGAATAGTTAGTTCTTGGTCAATGTAACTCATGTTAGGCAATTTTTTTCTTTTTTCTTTGGTTAAAGAGCAAGCTGCTTAAATTTATATATTACTCCAACTATTCCTCACCTATATCCCGTAAAAATAATAATAATAATAATAATAATAAATTCTTGGCCTGTTTAAACAAGTACCTATGTATTATGCAAGTGTCTTGTACTACTACCAAATATGTGAAGATGGTGAACAAAATTAAGATGTTACTTGCTTTTTTTCCTCTTATATCATCTCTATTATCGTGATAATTTGTTAAAGAATCCACAGGACTTGAATTTCGCCAAGTATCATGACAGTTTGGCTAAAGAATTCTCGTGCTTGCAGTAAGGGAAGTGATACAATAATATCTGATCAGCAAACAAAACATTACAATAATAGAGGACGCGACTTCGAAAATATTTATTAAAAAAAAAAAAAAAAAAAAACCACACACACTTCTACCGAAGTCTTCAGCCAAATATCCTCCTAAAAAGGATTGGTGCGCCATACTGAGGCTGCAAACTCATATAAATCATAGGGGCATGAACATATGTTGGAGACAGCACAAAAGAATACTGCTTAATGATCATAGCTAGGACGATCTTTGACTCCATCAGAGCTAAATTCTGACCAGCACAGATTCTGAGTCCTAACCCAAATGGAAAATAAGAGGCTAAATGCTTTCTAGGCTCATTAAACCTCAAAGGGTTAAAACAATTAGCATCTTCTCCCCATATCTCCTTATCATGATGTGTCGCAGTCATGGCCAAATATAACTCTGTTCCTGCAGGAATGTCAAGGTTTCCAACCTTCACATTTTCGGATGCTTGCCTCAACATTGCACCACTTATTGGGTAGAGTCTAAGCGTTTCATTGATTATCATGCTAATCTGTTTGGGGAGGGGGAAAAAAAAAAGACTGAGGGAGAGAATCTTGTGGTAGAGTACAGTAAAAAAATACCTTATTCGTAGGATACATTCTTTAACCATTAGATGGATATAAAATCATATCAAATTAAAAAAAAAAGTGTGACAATTTAATAGAATTTAATGACGATATGACGGTTCAAAATTATTTTATTTAGGTGGAGTATCTTCTCATGTCCCACTGGAATGTCGTGGCATTGATAAGAGTAGGTACTTACTATCTTAAGGTCGTGTAAATCCTCAGCTGTTATTGGCTCATTGTGTTTGCAAACTTGCATCACTTCTTCTCTAGCCTTGTTTTGCCAGTCTTGATGAAGTGCTAGAATGAGAAGTGCCCAAGTCAAGAGATTGGCACTTGTTTCCTTTCCCGCGAAATAGAACGTCTTGCATTCGTCTACTATTTCCTTGGTTGTTAATCTTACTTCATCTTTTTGATTTTTATGTGTAGACATCAACAGACCAAGAAAATTCCCCAAGTTTTCTGTGCTCCTGCAGGTTTTATCGATCAACATTTGAACAGATTGGTGAGTCTCTTTCCTTAGTCTCCATCTCTCTCTGTTCTTTTTAGTAGGCATAAACCTGCATGTCAAAAAAAAAAAAAAAAAAAAACAATTAAGCCACTGAGTTTCAAATCGTTAGCAATGTTTTTATAATATGTGATATGTGCATTTTGCATCCGAATGTGAATTTTTTACAATAATAAATAACCTGAACCCGGGAATGTAGACGCTATTAATAGCTTCTCGAGTGAGCTGAAATTGCTGCTCTTGCAGCTTGAAAATTTGCTTTCCGTTCTTAAAACTGCTTCCAAAAGCTGTTCTAGATATAATGTCCGCAGAGAGTTCATGAAGTTCTTTGTGCACATCAAGTTCAAATTCATCCCTTTCTTCTCTATTCTCTTTCCACCTCTCAAGCATTTTTGTTGTGCTTTCCACAACCTCTGGCACCCAACTCTGTTCACGTAATAATGTTGTTATTTCATGGCTCTTTTTTTTTTTTTTTTTTTTTTTGTGTGGAAAGTTTCAATTGTATGTGCAATTTAGAACAGAAACTAATAATTATACCCTCGCTAAATAATTGGAATATATAACCATCTCCCTAATTGATAAAAACAACTATCTCTAATTTTTTCACCTATACCTAAAAAAAAATACTAATGCTGCGCAACAAAATAAGAAACATTCATAATACTATATTCCTATTCTTTCAATCCTTCCATCAACTTCTCTCGTTATATATAAATTTAGAGAGGACAAAACTAAATAAGTAGACAAAATAATGGAGTGTGAATGCACATTTGCTATATTTTTTCTCTTGTGCATGCATGGCATTTCTAGAGCAAGTACTTTTCTATGTAAATTACATAAATATAACTCAAGTTTTATTAGTTTGTTTCACTAGTTTAAATTACAACTCAAATTAGTTATCCTATTTTCTCTCATAAAATTTTAAATTTAATTTTTTTATTATAGTGTTTTTTCTCACATGAATTCACATTTTAATTCAAATTCTCAACTCAAACAAAGTTTATATATTTTGGTTTATGGAGACTAGATAGATAGAGTGAGTAGAGAGATAGATCACCTTAACTTGCTCCGATCTAAAGGCTCGGTTAGCGATCTTTCTGTGGAAAGCCCATTGGTCACCAGCCAGAGCAAGTAGTCCTTGTCCGAAGAAGAGCTTCACCGATGGGTTCCAAGGAGTCCTGTCAAACGCCCCACTTGTATCGGTCAGAACTTCCTTTATCATTTCCGGGTCGGATATCACCAATCTGGGCATTGACCCGAACCAGCACAGCAAAGTCTTCCCGTACATGGGTGACCATTCGTGGTAGAAAGGAGTGACCCGCTGAAGGATGTCATGGTCAAATCCTTTTGACTTTCCCAGAACTCGGGCTTTGATCCGGTTCATCTCGGCCGTGTTTCCGAAGATCGGACGGTAGGCAGGGCCCCGAATGCCTTGTTTGCGGAAGTGGTTTTGGATCCTCAGTGGGACCCATATCACCGAGTGTAGGAATTTCCATAGGAAGATGGCAAACAAGGAGACCACAAGATGTGGTAGCAAGTTCATGATAATTAGCATTTTTTTGATGATAATGGTGAGTTGATCATACGAACCGGGGTGATTAAAAAGGGATTAAGATTGGTCATTTTCTTGGTTTATGTGATTAATAAAATGATCGGTGTGGGGTAATTATTGAGGTTTCAGTTTATTTTATGCGTGCATTTGTACTTTGCACTAAATAATGAAGGGAATCCACATGAAGACCACATTACAATCAGCATATGCTTGGAGTAGTGACGCACACAATGATGTTGGATGTTTTAACTTTTAAGCATGTTCTAGCCAAGATAAGATAATGGTAAAGTGCTATAACTAAATTATAATATAGCATACTATTATAATATTTAACACTACTTTTGGTTCAGCTTCTTAAACTTTTGGGAGAATGTCTTAATTAATTAAGATGATATCAGAGTAATAAAAAAAAAAAACTCTTATAATTGCACAAATTATTTTCACTTATTAGTTTGTCTTTAATGTGTTTCAGGCTACTAAAAACTAGAAAATGTTTCTTCACTTTTTCCTTCTATTATTAACTTAAAATCTCTAAGAGAATGACACGAATGAGGACCGACAAATATTTCCTACTATAAATAAGTACGCCACCAAATAATTATAGGATTTAAAAAAAAAAAAAAAAAGAGTATTTCTTGTCCCCCTGTGAGAGTAATTCCATTGAAACGACAACATTCAGAGAAGGCGTTTTACACTTGTGCAGCCACATGTCGTTTTAAAGAAGAGTTAAACAGTTTTAATCAAGATTTATCTTGGTGCTACACGTGGCAGAGTTATTCATCGTTAGATGTAATTTAGGTTAAAGCCAGTGTATATATTCAAGTATTTATTGTATTGAGACTCTACTTCTTCGAGAATCATCTGTACTATTTTGTAGTGGAGAAACTCTGAGAGAAACAAGATTGTAGAGATAGAAAGAGAAGTAAGTTGATAGAGTGTTTGGGTACCAAGAAAATCTGGGTAGAGTCTAGGGTTTGTGCTATTTACTGGGTAATTTCTTGAGAAATACTTGTAGTTCGTTTGAAAGGTATAATTAAATTATGATTTTTAATTTTAACGTTTAAAATTTAAATTTTTTATGAGAAGAAAACATTGTAGTAAAATCAATTATTTGAGTTTGAGTATATGAAATAAATACGTTCTTGGTCTCATTCTAAGAGTTCTTTGTTTTTGGGTTCAATTTAGGGTTTCTGAGTGTGAGGTGTGAGGGTGCAAATACTTCTTTGATAGTGGAAATAGCTTCTTGTTGAAGAGCCTAACGAGGACGTAGGACTTTAGTCCGAACCTCGGTAAAATTGTTTGTATTCTTTCTTGCATGTTCGATTTCTGGGTTATATTTCGAGTCTTGTGTTAAGGTTCGCCTAATTACAACCCCTAGGTTACCCATAAACCTGATATAACCCTTGATACAAGAATTCGGTTTTTCTGATTATTTAGAAGCAAACCTGTTTGATTGAACTTATATAAACAAAAGTAATCAAAACACGCACAAACAGCTGTGCAGTAACTTGCCAAGATTTTATATATATATATATATATACACTTTCACTAAAAGACAATAAATTAATAAAACTCAGCAATGTTAATTTAAATAGTCTGTTTTTTTCTGAGAAATCTTCATAAATACTCTTTAAAAATATATGAGTCTTGATTTAATCTCTTATTACTCTTGATTAATAGAGTCAAATAACTATATTAATAGGGTACTAATCGAGAATAAAAGTTAAAATCACCCATACACTTTTGAGGGTAAGTCAATAATTTTTTCTTGTGTTCCACATATAATATTGAACAAACAACTTTAATCCAACTCTTCAGCTAAGGCAACCTCCTGAAAAGGAGTGGTGCCCCATATTGGGGCTGCAAACTCACTAATACTATAGGTGCATGAACATACGTTGGCGATAGTACAAAAGAATACTGTCGTATGATCATAGCTAGGGCGACCTTTGTCTCAACCATTGCCAAACTTTGGCCAGGACATGTTTTGTTGCCTAACCCAAATGGAAAATAAGAGCCTAAATGCTTCTTAGGCTGTCTAAATCTCAAAGGGTTGAAGCTATCAGCATCTTCTCCCCATATTTTCTTATCGTGATGAACCACAGTCGTTGCCAAATAGAACTCTGTCTCCTTGGGAACGTCAAGGTTTCCTAGCTTCACTTGTTTCACTGTTTTCTTCAGTAGTGCCACAGCAATAGGATATAGTCGGAGCGTTTCATAAAATATCATACTTAGCTATTCGGAAACACGCAAAAAAAAGTATCGTTAGAGGAATAAAGATTTATGTAATTATAGTTCATATAATCAAAAGAAGTCTGTACTTTCAAAGAGTGAAATCATATTAATTGATAATTTAGAAATATGCGTGCACTACATGAATATGTTATGTTTTGTACTCTACAGTATAATTATCAAAAAGTATAGTTTTTAACAGAAAAGCATTATATAAATTAACATTGGTCTTTTTTTTTCTTTTTTTTTTTTTGACTTACAATCTTAAGGTTGTGTAAATTCTCAGCTTTGAGTGGTTCATTGCGTTTGCAAACTCGAAGCACTTCTTCCCGTGCCTTGGTTTGCCAATCCTGATGAAATGCTAAAAGAATAAGTGCCCACGTGAAAAAATTTGCACTTGTTTCCTTCCCTGCAAAGTAAAATGTCTTGCATTCATCTATGATTTCCTCCATTGTTAATCTTACTCCATCTTTTTTGTTCTTATGAGAAGACATTAACAAACCAAGAAGATTTCTTGAATCGTCTCCTTTCTTGCATTGCTTCTCTATAAGATTCTGAATTAATTTACGTATCTCGTTTTGTAATCTCCACCTTTTTCTGTTCTTCTTTGTAGGCAGAAACCTGTATATAAAATTTATCATTCCATAAAAGGCCTAAAATGACATTTTTTTGTAATACTTCAAAGTTTACAAGTTCTTTTTTTTTTTTTTTTTTTATACTAATGGTGTTCTCCAAGCATTGATGTGTAGTCACCTGAATCCAGGAATATAGACTTTCTGAGCCCCTTCGAGAACAAGCACCATTTGCTGCTCTTGTAACTTAAAAATTTGCTTTCCTTCCTCCAAACTGCTTCCAAAAGCCGTTCTAGATATAATATCCGCTGAGAGTTCATGAAGCTCCTTGTGCACATCAATCTCAACTTCATCTCTCCCTCCTCTCGCTTTCTCCCACTTCTCTAGCATCCTTGTGGTGCTAGCCACAATTTCGGGGACCCAACTCTAGCAGTGTAAATTCGCCATATCCACGTAATTGATACAAAATCATTAGGATTTAGTCATGAAAAGAAAACAATACTAACTATAAAAATTCCTATGCAGAATTGGTATTTCCCATCAAACACAAATTAGAGGTAAAATTACTAACATTAGCTTTCTTTATATATATACTAAACTATCTTTCTTTATATTTGTCCTCCTCTACTTAGCCAAAAAAGAATACAAAGGAATGCCACAAGGGGGTAGAAATCCCTCAACCACTAAAAAAATGGGATCAAATTAACCTATCAATAACTGATTATTGAAATCTTAGAGGCAGGATATATAGTATAAAAGAATGGTCATTCCATTACTCTTTTGAACCGTTTGGTTTGTAGTTACAAACAGAAATTTAACTTTTGAAAGGGAAAATATTGTAGAAAAAAAAAAAAAAGTGGCTCAAATCTATCAACATTGTATTTGAGAATATATTCTGAAACTAAATTCTACCTTTATTTCAAATAGAGAGAGTTTGTAAAAGAAATCAGATTCAAACATATTCATGATTCAAGTTAGAGAGAGAGGGAGAGAGAGAGAGAGAGAAATGGAGTGAAATCACCTTGACTTGCTCCAACTTAAAGGCTTGGTTGACGATCTTTCTATGATAAGCCCAAGTTTGACCGGTCAACGCGATCAATCCTCGTCCGAAGAACTGCTTAGGGAAAGGTCTGAGTGGAATCTTGTCAAATGAGCCACTCGCATTAACATGGATCTCCTTAATCATGTCCGGATCAGCTATGGCCAATCTCGGCTTGGTACCGAACCAGTACAGAAACGTCTTGCCGTACTTGGGTGACCACTCGTAGTAGAAAGGATTAACTCGCTCGACTATGTCATGGTCAACGGCCTTCAGAGACTTCGTGATAGCTCGGCCGTAGATGCTGTGGACCTCCGCCGTGTTCCCCAAGATCAGACGGTAATCAGGGCCTCCAATGCCTTGCTTCCGGAAGTGATTTTGGATTCTTAGTGGGACCCATATGATTGAGTGTAGAGCTTTGATCAAGATAATGATAGCCAGCAATATTGATGAAACCAGTACTACAAGAAACAGCAAATTCATGGCTAAAGTAAAAAAGAGGTTTTGACGATAATGGTGAGCCTTCTCTACACAACACAAAGTTATAAATACAGTGACCGACATCATGAAGATTAATTAGTTATTAATCATTGTTTAAGTTAAATCGTTGTGAAGAATTGGACACGATCGAGTTAATTAAATGGTTGTAATATGTGCTTGTACGGCGAAATGGGGAACCAACACCACATGCAATCACGCTTTACGATCACCATGCATATGGTCGTATCGTCGTGTACTGACACGGTGACGTTGAGACTAGTAAACTATATGTTCACCAGATATCACGGCAAATTGCAGCCGAAATTCGTATTTCCATAGCAGCCAAAGTACGTAATGTAGATTTTTATATCACATTAAGAAGATACGTTAATATAAAAATACTTCTAAAGAGTTTGTGTTACAGGTGAAATAATTTACTAATGGCGGTGAACTATCATTTCAAACAACGGCCGAAATTTGTATTTCATAGCAGTCAAAGTAGTGCACATTTTTGTGTTATCTAATAGACATCAATATATTGCAAGTGGAATAATTTACTAATGACCGTAAACTAACATTTCAAACAACGACAAGTTGCAGCCGAAATTTGTATATCATAGCAGTCAAAGTACGTTACGTAATGCACATTTCTTTTTACATCACCTTAAGAAAATGTGTCAATATGATATATTTACAAGTGGAATAATTTACCAATGGCAGTGAACTTATAACATTTCAAACAGTCCAAATATTGATGGAGACTTCGGATTTCGCATTTTAAATGTCGCTATTTATTGTTTTACGTCATATTTGCTGGGTGACAAGGGTTGTTTTGTTTTCATAATTTCCATTCCCGTTACGTTTGTTGGAGTTAATGATGTTATTTGTCAAAAAAGGCAATTTCATGGGTTATGGGCTAAATACCATTCGAGGAGGAGAAGAGACGGTCGGGAAGTGGGTAGCAACCCACCAGGCAGTAGGCCCACCGAGTCATAAAATGGACGGGCCCGTTCAGTCAGTAATCGGTACAAAAATTGCATCCGCCAACTCACAAAATTAAATACCACTCTGACGCTCTGACCACTCCACATTAGTTTAGATTTGACCACCGGACCCCATAGCCCACCATCACCGTGCAAGTTCAAAGTGGCATTAAAATGGAACATAGCATCAGCACCCAATTCAACAAATCAAATTTCCAACTAGATTTTCTCAACTTTTTGCGTGTTGGGACCTTTTCTTTTTCTTCCTTTTTTTTTCCCCCCCTTTTAACCTCTAGTAAAGAGAGAATATTCTAACGAAATTCAAATGCTTCAACGATGGTCTCTCTTGTTTTTGCGAGAACCCATGACGCAGAAAGATAGTAGTGGGTGAATTATTTCGCAACAAAAGAATATATCTATACTCAATACTCACTGGCAATCACAAAGGGGCGAAAAGGGAAAAAAAAGAAGAGAAAAAAACATTTTTAAAATAAATAAGCCACTTCCATTTTTGAAGTACTAACCCTACAAATTATTTGCCTTTTCCTTTCTGCTCCATTTAGCTTTTTTTTTTTTTTTTTGGCTTAATAAGACTGTACACGACTCTCTCTAGTTCATATCTCCTACAGTAAAATTTGAACCTTCCTACCACAAAAAAGAAAAGAAAAGAAAAAAAGGACTTCTCAAATTAAGTACACTATATTCATCAATAACCACGACTGATATAACACCTCGACTACGACGACTCTACGATATTTCTCTTGACTTTTGGCGTGGAAAAACCAATTTCCCCAATACCGGAGACTTCTAATTGACGACTGCAACCAAAAAGAAAAGAAAAGAAAAAAAGGACTTCTCAAATTAAGTACACTATATATTCATCAATAACCACGACTGATATAACACCTCGACTACGACAACTCTACGATATTTCTCTTGACTTTTGGCGTGGAAAAACCAATTTCCCCAATACCGGAGACTTCTAATTGACGACTGCAACTATTTAATTCCTCATCACAGCAATGCCGGCCCATTGGGCTTTCTCTCCGGCGGACCTTCCCCTCCGTACGACGACGGCGCCGTTATATCAAAACCACTACCGCCACCGAAGGAATTGAGCAAAGCAGAAAGCCCACCGGTGGAAGCCCCACCGCCACCGCCGATGCTCAGCCCCAGAAGGTCGCGCGTCATCGGCGCTTGACTCCCAAACGCAGACGACGGGCCAATAACCAGATCAGTCAGCCCAGAATTCTCTGGAAGCCCAAGCCCAAGCCCCGCTGCCGCTGCCGAGACACCGTTTTCGGCTTTGACCTGGCCGTTCCACTGTGAAGCGTTTGAGCCTAGTTCCTTCCCCGAGGAAAACGACGTCGTTAGGCCGAAAAGCAAGGAGGTGTTCGACGCCGCGGCGCCCATTTGGGCCGCTTTCTGAAGCAATGCGGTGGCGGACATGGCCGGAGGCTGCGGAGGCTGGGCGAAATGGTGGTGCTGATCGTGCTGGTCGGGCGTGGGGAAAAGGGATGAGCCGCCATTGTTGGACAAGTAGAGAGATGTTGAGAGAGAGAGTGACGTGGGTTCTATGGTGGGAACCGTTGGGACTATAGTACTAGTACTGGTCGAAGTACAATGGGAGCGACCCAAAGTGGGGATTAGATTGGGGAACGAGGATATTGATGCCGCTGATGATGTTTGTGGTGGTGGCTGAGCAACTACAGTGCTTGAAGGTGCAAATATGCTCGCAAATACAGTGCTTGTTGTGCTCCCATTGCTGTTAGAGCAACTGGTAATGGTAGTACTGGTGGTGATCAAGCATGTCGTGGCCGGCGTTGGTGGGGATAATCCTATTGCATTTTCCGGCAACTCTGTAATCAAATCAAAAGACAAATGAGCAATACAGAAAGTTCAGAGCTAAGCAACTAGCCAAACTGAAAGAACGGCAAAAACCAAAAAGAGAGAAAAGGGTGCAGCTAGCTAGCTAGCAGACAGGCAAAACAAAATTTTTTTTTTTCCCGGTTTGTTTTTCCCTTTGGAACTTGTAAGCCCTTTCAATTAAAAAACAGCTTAAACTTGAGAGCCCCTTATGAGCAAAAGGACAGGCAATCATGGCGTCCTTTCTCCCTCGGGTACTTTTCTTTCCTTTTATTATTTGGTTAGCCTTCTCCTCTCATTTCCTCGATCCTTGAGCTTACGTACCAATCGTGCAAACCATTGCCCGTGGATAAGCAGTGCCATTGAAAAATACACAACTTTTTAGACCATGATAAACCCGTCAATACACGAGTTCTTTTTTCTACGGCTTTTATCCACCCACAAACACCAGTAATTAATACCAAGAAAACTCCTTAACCATTATTAAAACAAAATTAACAAAACAAAATAACATCCAGGCACATGTATACGAGCGTATAGTAATAATATAATATTGTTACAGGTGTGTGCATTGAATCCCAAGAAAAGCAGTAATACTTCCAAAACGACCTACTTTGACCAACGTAATGAAGGCGATGTATGATAATCATAGCAACTGAAACATATAGGACAAGACTAGAGATATATAGGCCGTAGCTATTACCTGAACTCTGAATAGACAAAGCTGGGGACACCACAGACGTCGACGGCGTTAGCGGCGGCGGAGGCGGCGAAGCCACCACCGCCTTGGCATTGGGATTCGGATTGTTCCCCTCTGAGCTAACTGCTAGGGTTTGAGACCTAGCGCTCTCCTCCGCCAACGCATCGCAGAACGCCCTATGCGTTATGAAACTATCCCTCCTGCCAGAGATATAAACAAGTTTTTTTTTTTGTCAGAAAAAAGAAAGCATTTTCTCGGGAAACAAACACACGCGGTAAAATAGAAATGGAGGAACTATGAGCTTGCCTGGAGAATAAAGTTCCGCAATCGCATTTATACTCTCTGGTTCCGCAAGTCTTCATGTGGGCCTTCCAATCGGACTGTACCGCATACTTCTTCGAGCACCGCTCACACTTCCACTTCTTCTCTCCGTGCTTTCTGCAGAAGTGTTTCTTGATTCCGGTTAGATCGCCGAGCGCTCTCGCCGGGTTGTGGTGGACGCACGACGGCTCCGGACACACGTAGACTCGCTTCCGGACCTCCTTCGTCGTTCGTTGCCGGAGTTTCCACGGCAAGTTGTGGCCTCGCCGGTGAAGTTGCAGGTTCTGATCGCGCTGAAACCCTTTGTTGCAGATCTCGCACACGAAACGGTTCGTCGCGAGGAGAGTCTTCGGCGACAGAGCGATCACCTCCGCGTCCGGATCTAACATACCGAAATAAAATAACATAATAAATAAATTAAACATCCTTATTTGCTTCGATTTTTGAAATAGAACTCTCGAGCATATTCTTACCAGGCATTCCCGGAAGGTTTCGCTTCTTCTTCGGAGGCGCGGCAGCCGCCGGAACGGCGGTGGTTTGGTAACCAGACGAAGACAAACTAGCATCCGCGGAGGCGGTGGAAACCGCCATTGGCGAGGAATTCTCCAACTCTCCCATCGTTTTTTGCTTAGGGTTTTAACCTCCGAAATCAAGAAAAGTACTTAGGGTTTCGATTTGAGAAAGCTTCTATGTTCTCGTTTACAAGGTCCAACTGCTAAAATATCCTAGCGTTTTGCACGCAAATTACAACTTTCCCGAGAAACTAACAGAATTTGTTGAATACAAAAGGAAATAAACTTTCTACGAAATTCTCCTTCAATGGAGAAGTGAAAAACGTCTTCGCTGAATCATCGGGGTCTTCGCCGGATAACCAGAGTCCCTTTAAGCGGCGGCTTCATAGCTAGAGGTAGAAGATGAAGAGAGAGAGAGAGAGCAAAGAAGTGAGACACAGGCAAGAGGAGAGAGATTTGAACGAACTTGAAAAAATTAAAATATTTTTAAAAAATAGTTAAAGCGGCGCCAGTTAACCATGGTTAACTCTGTAACCCGTACTTTTAACTACGGTTAGGGACCTACCTGGGCCCCCAGTTACATCTCCTGGCTGCTAATGCAAATCTATCCATCCACGTGTCACTATCAGCGGGTTTACGACAATTGTCGGAAGTAGTCGGACTAGCGGTGCTTGTCCTTTAGCTGGAATGGGTTCAAATTATTCTATTCATTATACATAGTTATTGACGTTTGTTTTAAAAATTCAGTCTAATTTAAGATTATAATTTTATTATAGTATTTTTCTTATAAATAAATATAAATTTTAAAAATTAAAATTATAAACTATGATATGTCACCTTAATAAGCGATATTCAAAAGACAAATATGCCGTGGCTGAGTTGCTTTCTTGCCGTTCGAACTTGAGATTTTGCTGTCTTTTCGATTTTTTGGAAGGCTTAATTATAATTATTAGATATTTATTTATTTTTGCTAGATAGTTATAATTCTATATTATATAAAAGTGAATTTGTGTTTTTTCTCTTTTTACGGTTTCCTCCTTCACGTTGAGACAATAATTTGGCTCAAATAGAAGAAGTTCCACTGAACAGATAAGGACGAGCAAAGACAAATGTGGATAATTCTTATTGCCAAGCGTCAGTGGCTTTTTCGTGATTTTATCTAAATACTTGTCCGACTTTATATTATTGTCCCACGCATACAAATAATATTCAACGAAATACCTGTTATAACCCTCAATTCCAATTGCAGATGAATTTTTTCTGATTGATTCGAATCATGATTCATGATTCGTTATAATATTTTTTCTCATAAAAAATACACATAAATTAAAAATAATTTTAATCTCATAATTTTAATACATGAATCAAACAGTTCCCGGTTATACCCTCGGTTATCACTTCACAAACTATGTGCGTTAGACTTACGGTGCAATTGGACGCCAAATGTCAGTAAGACCCTCCTGAGGTTTTCCTTTTTTTTTTTTTTTTTTTTTTTTGAGGGAACCTCGTGAGGTTATTTAAGTAATAATATACACAGAATAGGCACGTGCTCAAGTCTGACCACTACCAGAACTTTTATTTCGCAATGGGCGACCCCATTATACATCTTGCTTTGTAAGAATGAAAACCACTTCTTTTTATCTTCATTTGTAAGAATGGAAGATACATTTTAAGAATTTTAGATCCGGATGTAGGATATAACCGTGCCTTACCTAAAAAGGTAAAGAAAAAAATCCATTTGTCTTTATAGTCTAAAGCCTATGGTCCCAATATGGACAGCTACACAAAGGCCACCTTCTTTTTCAAAAGGCGAGCATGATGACAGGAAGGGGTAGGGGTATTTTGGCGATTTTATGATACACTTCAGAGTTCAGACTGTGCATACAGCATAGCATTTTGGACCCACCGACTGGCAAATGCAGATGCTGACGTGGCGTGGAATGTGAATGCACAAGTTGCACTAATGCCCTCCAATGTCTACTATTTTATTTGTTTTTAACCCCTTTCTTTTAACCTGGACATGTAATAATAATAAATAAACCCCATTAGTGCATGTTTGATGGGCCACGTAAATCTAATCTAATCTCCCAAATAATTGAGAACTACTAAAAAGTTTTGATGTTAATTAATTCTATACAAAGTTGCATGTGGGTTGCGTTAGTATGAACATAGATTCCCCTTTTAAGGTTTTTCTCAATTATTTAATTACCAAAGACCTTCATTTGAAAAAATGAAATAAAAATTTTCAAACTAAACATTAACACTCCATTTTGGTAGGAGGAAAAGAAAAGAGAATAGAAAAAAAATACGTAAAATAAAGAAAATGTGAAGAAAATGAATCAAGTTGATTTTTTTTTTATAATGCTTAGTATAATAAGAGGAAAAAATACATGTAATAACCAAAATGATTATTTTATTAATTATTTAATATTAATTTAGATTTTAAAATGGGTACATAAAAGTAAATTTAACCATCAATGAGTGAATTTGAGTTTCTTTTCTAATGTTAGAGAGATAAAAAATAATGACCTCATCATAATTTTTTTCATCATATTTTTCTTTATCTGTTCTCTTCATTCTTACTAAATAATTAATTCTATCATTTTTCATCTAATAATCCATAAGCCTACTTCATTCTTTTCACTTTTCCGTCGTACCAAACACACTATAAAGCGTCATCATTTATATGTTCTGCCAAGTTAGCAAAATGCTAAAGGGGCAGGATCTACGTTGGCTTACGCAGAAGCAAATGAGAAGTCAAAATTTGTTTGTTGTTGTTTTTTTGTTCTAAGAAAAAGAATTAATTTTGTTTGTTTTGGCTCAGCGGACTAACTAGTTCGAATGATTATTTTGTTTCGTAGCGTTGAGTTTTTTGACAGGCTTTTTTCTGTGGACGGTGGACTTGAGTTTGTAATCTTATGCTATTATTAATGTAATAAGGAAATTACTGTTTATGATTCATAGTTCTTTTAGCTAAAAGCGATTAACAACGCCAAAGTAAAAGTGGCTGTAAAATGACACCTCTCTTGAACATTTAATTTATTTCTTTGAAAGAGTTGTCAATTATGACTTTATGACGATGTGGGTAAACTAAAAGTGGAATTGTATTTAGTTCTTTCGGTTTAGACTTATCTTTTTCGGAGAATAAAATAAAAGCCAGTGAAAATGGAAAAATGGGTGGATTGTATCCAACGAAATACTGACCAAAGAGCCTGTGAAGTGAAGAAAATTCAAGGTAAGATTGATATGGCTAACATTTCTAAAAGCATTTTTCTTTTTTGATTTTTTTTTTTTTTGTGCATTTGTAGGTATATACTATTTGGGATAAGGAGAGCACCATTTTGTTGTAGCTTCTCCAATCAAAAATTTCAGACATGGAATTGCATCTAAATGTCTTTTACTTTTGCGGATGGTGAGAAAGTGGGTAAGATAAGATTTTTGTTTCCTATTGAGTAATTGAGACACACAAAAAAACCCAACGAGTACAGGGAGGAAAAATAATTTTGTATTTTTTAGGTAAGTTATTATTTTTTATTTATAGGCAAGAATTATTAGAAGTATATAAATAAGTGTTTTGTGTAAGGTTTTATGAGTGTTCAGAAAAAAAAAAAACGCAGAGAAAGTGTGCTTTTTTGAGATAAAAGTGATGAGAGAGATATGCAAAAGGTGTAAGGAGTTTTAGACAGAAAGAGAAAAAGAGAAAGTTTGTTAGGTGTGTAATTCTGAAATTATTAGTGATTATTTTTCTCTCTTTTGTGGACGTAGGAAAATTTTTCGAACCACCTAAATTTTTATCTTCTCTATTTTTTCTGTTATTTTTGTTTTAGTTTATTTTTCTGTTGCGTGAGTGTATGTGCGTGTTTTTTTCCTAACAATTGGTATCAGAGTTGTGGTAAAGATTAAAAAAAAGTCAAGATGATGTTCGGGATAAAATTTGAGCAGATTGAGCAATTTGATGGAAAGAGTAATTTCAGCATCTAGTATAGTACGGTCTGCAGGAATTACTGAATGCGTTGCAAGAAAAAAGCCAGAAAATATGAAAGAATTAGAAGCGAAAAGTGGTAAGCACTATTCGTTTAAGCTTAGTTCCTGAACTGAAATATGATGTTATGAATTAGACATCTTCTTCTAAGTTATGAAAAAAATTAGAAAAAATATATATGTCAAAATCCCTAACAAATAAATTATATTTGAAGAAACAATTGAATAAGTTGAAGATGGATAAGGAAAGTGATGTTAGGGACCATATCAATAATTTTAATAAGTGCATAATTCAATTGTTAAGTGTAGAGGTAAAAATTAATGAGGAAGATAAAGCGGTAATTTTGTTGGCCTCCTTATCCAAATCATATGAGACTTTGGTGACTACGCTATTAGTTGAAAATACGACGTTTACTGTGGATGAGGTGTCGACTACTCTGTTAGAGATTGCCAATATGAAGAAGCCAAGTAGTACGTCTCATATTGAATAAGTTTTTGTGGCTAAGTCATATTTAAATAGGGGTAAGAGTAAGTCACGAAAGATATGTTATGATAAGAGAGATGATCGTTCCCAATCCTGACCAAGGAAGGATATTGAGTGCTATTATTGTTATAAGAATTGGCATATTAGGAGAAATTGGAAGAACTGACAAAGTATGTTGAAGAAAATAGAAAGCAAGAAACCCAAGAGACTTTAGATTCTGCAAATGTTGTTGACGACAGGTATGATAGTGAAGATGATGTTTATTATGTTATTACTGATGAAAATATTTCTAACTCTTGGATTTTGAATTCTAGATGCTCGTTTCATATGTGTCAAGATAAGGAGTGGTTTGATTCGTATAAATCCTGTGATGCTAGTACTTTGTTGATGACCAATGATTCTAATGTTAAAATTGTTGGAATGAGTACTGTAAAGGTGAGGATGTTCGATGAAGTTGTGAGGAAATTTGACAAATGTTAGGCATGTTCCTCAACTAAGGAAAAGTTTGATTTCTTTTGGGACTTTAGGCACTTTGGATTGGAGTATTATATGAATGGTAGTTTTATGCAAGTTAAGAAAGGTGAATTGGTGGTCATGAAGGGTGAAAAAGTGAAAAATTTGTATAAACTGATTGAGACTACAGTTGTAGATGGAGCTATGAAGGTGGAGTCAAGCCACAAAGAGTATTCCTCTATTGTGAAAGAAGTTGCAGGAGTACAAGAGTGCAACAAGATGTTGATGACAGTTGAAGACGACAAAGACAAGATGGTGAAGAACTATGGCAGTGATCAAGATGCTTTGAAGAAGAAGAAGAAGAAAGTTTCTCGTGTCAAGTTTGATGAGAGTTTGAACTTGATACATGTTTATTCTTTTTGAAGTGACGGGTGCGATGATGGGTGTCGAGATTGAATACCCAATTAAGTGATGGGTGATGGGTGACGGGTGTGATGTTGAGAATTTGAGTCAAGGTAAAGATTGTTGAGTAAGTGACTCAAATTAGTTTTGAGAAAGTAATAATTTTGTGTTTTTTAGGTAAGTTACTGTTGTTTTTTGTTTTTGGGCAAGGGTTATTAATTTAAGAGTCTATAATAAGTGTTTTGTGTAAGACTTTATGAGTGTTCAGAGAAAAATGTAAAGAAATATTGTATCATTTTTAAGAGAAAAGTGAGGAGAGAAATAGACAATTAGTGTAAGAGATTTTGAATAGAAAGAAAACGATAAAAAATTTATTGAGTGTATAATTTTAAAATTATTAGTGATTATTTTTCTATCTTTTGTGGACATAAAATTTTTTTTCAAATCATCTAAATTTTTATCTTTTTTATTTTTTTGTTATTTTTTATTCAGCTTATTTTTCTGCTCCGTAAGCGTAAGTGCGTGTTTTTCTCTCAACACCAAATACTTTTTAAGAGCCCACAGGATAGTTGGCTACATGAAATGATTGGCTCAAAGCTAAAAAAGCAAACAGAAAGCTAAGTATTTAGATGTTATCCAACCTAGTTCGAATTTGAAGCAATTATCAAGTGGCAAGCTTAAAAGAGGGAAAGATTTGGGATTCCTTTTTATGTCACTTTCATATTCATTAGCGACCATTGGAGATTTGAGGATTTAAATTTAAAAAAAAAAAAAAAAAAAAAAAAACATACGTATGGAGAGAGAGATATCTACAGCTGGAGGGTTGTGTGTGAGGTCGCACAAATGTCAAAAAGGAAAGGGAAAGAAATGAGAGACCAGGCCCGGTAGTAATCATCACCAATTTGATTATCTCTTAGTTGCTTTTTTGCCTTCTCCCTTTCTGATTCCAATATGATGCAAAAGTCCACCTTGAATCTCGAGTGTTACAACTTACAGGTCCCCTTGGCTAGGCCCTCTCCCCCCTTTTTTTTTTTTTTTTTTTTTTTTTTTTTTTTTTTGCTTTCTTTTCTTTTTCGCTCCTTTTGCGATCATGGTATTTGTGTAGATTGTGGGGCCAGATACTGCCCGTAAAAATTCACGGGTCAATGGCTCCTAATTCTTTTTAGAGTGGGAAAAGTAGGGGTCGGATTTGGGAGTGGGGCAAATATCTTTTGAGTTGCTCATCTTTCCATTGATTCTACTTCCACATTTTTGGTCATCAGCCCCGGATTCCATAATGTTCCTGTATTCTAAGGATATTTTTCGAGTGGTGAATTTACAAGGAGCTCGAATCGAACAAAAAACCAAATGAATGAAAATAAAAGAAGTTGGGTTGTGCTTTGCTTCAGAAACAGAAAAATATTAGAATTAAAAAAAAATTTATGGTTCGAATCTTTAGTATTCTATTATTTATTATATGTGTCTACTATTTATGTAGAATATTTGTCACCTATTCTTACTAAGAAATTGAAAGAAACAAAAAAAAAAAAAAGAGAGAGAAAAGTGAGGATCTAACCTCTTTGTGTGGAAACTTTATCTTCAATTGAAAGTGAAAATCATTTTTTAATTTATCCACGATATGCCCCATTCAAGAAAGGGTCATATCATCAATAGGAACACAAGGTTGGCAAAAATGTATCGGTTTGTTGCCGACCAAATATGTCGGATCAAGTTTTTAGGACACAAATAGACGTTAGTGGTAGCCAGCATCATTTGCCAAAGCTAGGTGGCAACCGGCATGTAAGATTCAATTATACGGAATAGCACATGTAGAGCCATTTCTTCAATTTGACTGAAACATAATAAGAAATCAGTTCATTGCAATGCTTAAGATGTGTTATATACATAAATATATATATATATAAATAAATATATTGTTTTCCTTTTTTCCTTTTTGGTGTTGGCTTGCTCCTTCTCAAACCTGATATAGCCGTCTCAGTCATCATGTTACTCATGGTTGGTGGCAAAAAGGTCCACCTTGTAGTCGTTGACCAGGAAGAGCTAAACAAGTTTCTAGCACAAAGGAAAACTGCCAAAACAACGAATAATGAGTTCAGACTATTACTTTTCCAGGAGTGAAGCATGTAAAATCATACAATCAGGTCTTGATCATAACTCGACGCACTTTGACAAGAAGCAAAATTTCAAATTGCGCGAATTGGAGGAGTTTAAACTTGACTAGAAGACAGTAACATCACAACCCGGTGACTGTGTAATGTCAAACTAAAAACTAGCAGATGAAGTGACGAGGAACTTTTACAAATTTACAGTTGCTACCGAGCAACAAAAACCTGCTTGCAATATCTTTATGGTTGTTGCTACAAACCTTCCAAGTTTCTCTGGCTATACGACTTTTCTAGTAACGTACCAATTTAGGTGAAAAAAGCTACCAATAACATAATTGATTTAATAAGGCGGGCTAAAAACAAACAAATAAATAAAACAAAAACAACACATAGAGCAGAAAACTTGGTGCAAGTTCAAACAAAAATCATCAAGATGTGCCCGGTGTTGGTGTTGAAATCTCGTCTCAACGCCATGTGGATTGGCACGTCTGCCCATGTTGAATCCTTGCACGTTGCGCTCATTGGTCTGTCTTGGCAATGTCCACAACTGTGGAACAACTTAGGACATGAGACGCACCTTAGAGAATGTTACTTTTCTCCACCAATTACCTGACATAGAGTTCTATTTTATGACCTGCAAGCATTGAAGATCTCACCCCGCATGACATCAATGGGCATATGCTCAAGGGTGTAACGTTCAGGACCCAGGTAAACACCTGTCTTCTCAAGGAGAGCCAACCCTTCATCTCTACCATATCTCGAAGAATAGAGTTTCAGATATTCAATGTCCTGTAAGGTATGAATCCACAGGGGAATTTAAACAGGCATAAATAAAATGGAATAATTATATGGTGAAGGCTATATACAGGTGGATAAAACTTAAAAGCACATGAAAGACAAGGTAAAGACTGGGAAAGACCTTAAAGTCATATTTTAGTTTCGCTCACCTGCAAGCCACTGAGAATGCGCTCTAGACGCAGTGAAGCGACTGGTGTATGTGATGATGAGAACACCTCGCCAGGATAGAACAGGACCCCATCTCCAGGGGGAAGACCACGCCTGAATCTTATCTGTCACATAAAAACACACGCAAAGTATTAAGGTGCTAGAAAAGAACTTCTCCAGTGACTTTATAGAATAAAACGATTAGAAGGTCACCTCTTCACTGGGCACAGTTGCCTTCTCATAACAGTTTGCACCCCAATACAAGAATCCTGTCCCACCTTCTTTCCATACACGCCACATGACAGCACGGTGCTGCGTACCTCGCATCCCAAGGTGCCAATTGGGGTGGGGGTCAGAAGGTCCCATGCACACATAAGTCCACCACTCCTGCATGAAGGACTTTTAGCAAGAACATATACAAGCATTATAGTATGAGATATGTCATTGATACATAAATCTGCCGTTAGGAAACATAAAGTTGGCATGAAACAGAGCGGAAGAAAAGCAGCCAAATTCCTGGTAACGATATTGTCATACTATTTAAACGAGAAGATGATTGTATAACAAAATTTTCTAAATCTGTTGTAAAAAAATTCACTCTATAAAACAGCTTTAGACTGCAGAAACTTTCCTAAAGAAATTAGATGCGAGAGTCGAGACCAAAGCCTTCATTGACATTACCTCACCATTTTCTGGCTGTAACTCGGAAATAATATCCTTGGCTAAATCCTCTCGATTCCCAAGCACCCATTCACTGAAAATATAAAACCAAAGTTTTAATTATTCTAGGATGCAACAGTTGAATAGTTATCAATTACATAAAAGTGACTCCAGCGTAAATGGTTAACTAGTCTACTTGGTGCACATTAGATAACAAGCATCGTTCATTCCTCAGATGGAGTTGTCAGAATCTGGAAAATACCCCGTTCCATACAGTAAAGTCGATGAGCCATTTCAGTTTGCACCTGCCAAACTGGTGTTTTAGAGATTTCAAGTATACCTCGTGCAATAAATTTGAGTATGAGGGCGCAGGAACTTTGGGACTTTCACAAAAGCCTCAAAAGGGGTAGGTGCGAGAGGTGCATCACTTGGCCCTACATAAAAGGAGAGAACAATATGAGAACATCTTGATAACTAGATAACAGCTGAAAGGGGTTTGAAAAATACTACAATTTACACCAAGGTATACAGAGTGTAGTACTAGTGCTGGAAAAGAAAGTAACCAGAGAAGGATGACTACTATTTAATGATGTATAATCTAGTGAAATAGAACAAGTTCAAAAAGAAGAAAATAATCTGGACATTTAACAGTTACATCCATGGAATGAAGAGATCTAGGAACCAACCAAGCAATTTATGAAGTCAGATAAAAGGATTTAACACTAATTGCCATGGCATATTATTCTGAACAGAACATAATTGATTCATACCACAGTAGTAAGTTGTTAAGACACGAGCATCTGGAGCATAAGCGTGAATTTCAGCGCCCATGTTGCGTATAGAATCATATTGTTCCAAATTAAGCGGCTGCCATCAATAATTGAAAGCACATCAGCTTCTTGAGTTAATACTATCATTCCACAAGTGAAAAAAATAGAAAAAAATTTGTCCTTGAGCACCACTATCTAAAAGTGCACGCAACTTAACAAACAAAAATTTGCACTTCCACCACTTTACAGCATTGTTCATACCTCATCCCACAAATAGAAATATGCTTTCTTCCAGTGAGTCTTTGTCCGTAATATCTCAATTTGGTTATGCAAGTAGTCCTTTGATGCATCACTGTAACATGGTCAACAGATTTAAACCCGGTTCCCTTTCATCACAAAGAAAAAGCTGAATACGTAGATTGAATCAATGACTACATACCCAGAGATGGCAGGACTATATGGTACAGCATATGCAGACAATCGTGGATCTGAAAAATATTCATCTGATTTTGGATGGTCGGCTACAACATCCGGAAACAAAGAAAAAGGAAGGAAAAAAATCATCAAAGACGGAAGTTATCTTCATAAGCTGTTGCGTAAAAAACACATTTGGTAATTGTATATGCCAAGGATTACAGCATCGAAAAAAAAAAAATTCCTGTCCATTAGTTACCTGGCCAAGGGCAAGTGTATGTAAGAACACGCATGCTATCACCCCACCTGCAAAAATATGGGCTTATTCTAAACTGAAGAAGCCACTTGAAATGCAAATCCAATGCCTCATACCACTCTTCGCTCCCATGAATAACGCCAAAACGGTCCTCAATAACAGTATCGGATATCTAAAAATATAGCTAACGAAGCACCCTTTCGCTCCACAAAATTTCAGCGTACAAAAATTGATTTAAATGGCAATAGAACATTTTGAACAATAATTTCAACCAAATACAATTAATGGTCAAAATTTAACTTTGAGGTATATCCATTCATCTTTATCATAAATCAAACTAGCAGAATGATCAAATAGAGTACCCATTTTAATATTGTATTTTACCAAGCACATCCTATCAGCAAATGCTTATTTCTATTTCCATATTTTGCAAAATCGTGTGTCCTAAACTATTTACTCGATTATCTAAAGTACAAAAAAGCTCGCTGCAAAACTGATCTGCAAAGGTAGCTCTACTCCATTTTGGGATGCTTGTGTTTTCATTTTAAAACATCAGATGTACGTTTGCCTTATATTGGTAACTAGCAGCGTCTGAAAACCAAAAGTATTTACAGCAACAGATTTATCAAAGATAAAAGAAAAGTTTGTGTTTCCCCATTTAAGGATACTCCAAATACTGCAGGAAGTGATGGAGTTGAAGGAAGAACAAAGTCCCAAACTGTCAAATTTATCTTCACACGTATTGAAAGGTTTGAAATAGCATCTTCGTCCATCATATCAACTGGCCCATTATCTGAAAATTCAGAAAATAATGGAGACAGAAGAACTCTTCCTAAAGATGTAGTTGCAGATTTCACTCTTTCTACCTAAAAGAACAAATATTCATATAAATAAACCTTCAAAGGAAACAGAGAAAAAAAAATTAAGGAAAAGAAACCTATTCAAAGACACTTCAGTAACAGACCACTTCATCCAATGGTTTGTCATCAACTGGCCCCACTGTTTCAAGACAGTTCTGAAGTTCTCTGTAAAGTTTGTACTTGTCAGCTTTGCTGAAGCATTGAGTTGAAGATCTGCAATAATGAATCAGAATGAGAAAATAGTATCTCAAAATTCATACTGTTGAATATAAGATAATGATGAATGCCAATTGTACAAGACCGGCCCAAAAATCATCAAAATAATAGTTGAAGCCATCCAAGGTAAGATTTATAGACTAGAATCAGCCAATAAGATCTTGAAAGTTGAAACAACAAAAATAGATGGGAATATACTTACTCTATATCTGGCTTTGCTGCGGTAATGATAATATCCCCCTCATATTGACCTGGGGGTTGGGTGCTAGGAACGTCTATGGAAACCCAAACTGTAGTAGTCTCTCTGCAGGACGCCCAAGGAAGGGATGCAAGGGCAAAAGAAAAACTAGCTAAGTCCCCTAAAAAATTTAGTTTTCTACAATCACCATAACATCATTGATGAGATTAGTACCCTGGTAATAAGTTTATTTGACTAACTGGAAGATCAAGGGGCACAAGAGCATCTGGGACACCCAAAATCGGTACCACACGCCGTAAAGCTACTGACTGTCCAACAACTAATCTGCCAATAGAAAACATCAGCAAATCTTTATAAACCTACACCAAGAAGAATATTAACTTCAAAGAACTAACCTATCACCAGATGTGGAGCATAAGTCACTACATTGGACCAAGACGGTCCCTGCAACTCCAGAACTAACCCAAGAAACTTTTGGACGAATTGCAATCTGAACACTTTCTCTCTCATTTCTGGCTGCCAGAAGATTTATCTTCAAGAGAAACCAGATTCAGAAACACAGCACAATGCCAATACAAAGACATTGGAAAAGATCAAGAGAGCATCACTTTCATCAAGAACCAGAAGTCAGTTAATAAGTTACCTTACTAAATCAGAGCACATCCTACATCCTAGAACAATGGTAAGTAAAACAAACAAAACGAAAAGTCGAATGGCAAAATATTCTTTTACAGATTATTCAATTGCAAACAGTTTACAGATTAAGATCACTGAAAACAAGTATTCAAGTAAAATAAATATTAGGGTTCAGCCGAAACAAAAATCATATAGTTGAAAATATGCAGATAATACACGATCAAATAAACAATCCAAACGTAAAGTAGCATTATAACAATAAGTGAGCTTACCGTCTCCAAATGTCTAGGCATTTCTTGTGGTCCAACATTTGCAGTGCTTGGCATGCACCACACATGCACCAAATCTGTTGTTGGAACCTCCGAAGGGTCAATTGATCCCTTGAGGGGACTTAAATTCCGTACACCAGTAACACCGTCATTCCATCCATATGCTGTCCCGCCTCCAGCAACACCTTCAACTGGTGGCACAAGGATATCATGGGGATTCCCTATGTGTATCACCATTCAGCAGAAAATAAGATAAGGTAATAAAGTAATTTGAGTTTGAAACTGTCCCAACTGATGAAAAACAGAATGAGAAAAGATGACAATGAAGATCTGACTCGATTATTAACGCACGGAACTCAGTTCAGTTCCATAAAGATGAAAATTAAATGAACTACTCGTCTCTAATAGAGCCTCCCTAAATTTTAATGTTTCTTTGTTTTTCATCATAACTTGAAACCAAAATCCATTGGAAGTAAAGTATGAACATTTTTTCGTAGCGGAATTGTGCACAATCATTCAACATGTAAAGTAAAGAAAGGAAAAATCATTGATATCAATTATCGCAATCCTTAATTGTTTCCAAATTCAAGCGTGATTGAAAAAGTTATAAGGCAATTAATAATCCACTATCAAACAACTTCGAAACGTTTTCTAAATCTAAAATCAAAACCAACGACGAAGCAATCTACAGTCTTCAAAAAGGAGAAGAAATCATTGTACGCCAAATATAGAATCCATAACGTTCCCTAAAAGTTAAATTCAAAAACATTTAATGTCAAATTTTCAAGTTAAGCACCATTATTGATCATTTGAAAAACTAAAAAACGAAAAACGCCAAAAAAAACATCGAACGGAGATTGAAAAACAGACAGAGAAAAGAAAAAAACAAGCCGTAGACAATCAAACTATAGACCGAAAACCAAAAATCGTTTGGCTGCAGAGAAATTTCAGCACAATGAAATGAAAGCTACGAATCTCGCAACAAAGCATGGAATTCTCCATTGCAAGACTCCGACTCAAAACTCGTTCTCCTCCAACTTCCTCGTCTGATTTTCCCAGGTACCAAACAACAACGTTCAATTGAGACAAGCGCAAAGTAAATTGCAAATGACCAATTCGAACACGAGCAAACTGTAAAGTAATTCCTGAGACTAACCGGAGTTATCCATGGAGGTTCGGTTCGTGATTTAATTGTTCGTGAGATCACAAGAATCGCGATTTTGCTTCTACGAGTATGTTGTTCGAAGGTAACGAAGCGGAGAGCCAGAGAATCACTTGAGAAAGACGATCGCCAACAATAAATTTATATTTTATCGGTTTTTTATTTTGTTGATATACCACGTAGGTGGCCCGTTCGATTCGTTAATTTAAGTTTTTAATTTGAGTTGAGATGTAATATTATATGAAAATTTTTTATTATAATAAAAAAATTAAATGTAACTGTTTTTGAGCTCTCACAAACAATCACATCTAACTTTTTTGCTACAGTAAAAAGTTCTCACATACAATCACATCTCAACTCAAATTCTAAACTCGAATCATCGAAACGAACGAGGCCTAAGTTTTTAATTTGAGTTGAGATGTAATATTATATGAAAATTTTTTACTATAATAAAAAAATTAAATGTAACTGTTTTTGAGAATTTTTTACTGTAACAAAACTCAAATCAGCGAAAAAACAAGATCACATTCGTAATTTTTGCTCCCTTGAGATGTCCCGTTTACTACCGACCTTCTAAACTTGCTTGTGTTGGTTTCTCAAACCAGATTTTCAAAAAAAAATTATGCGGAAGCGTGGTATCGATCGAATCACATAAATTAAAATTTAATGCGATCATTATTTCATGTTAATTTAACTACAAAGATATTAAAGAAAAAAATAAGGATTTGACCGTCGTTCGATTAGGACGAAAATCTTGAACTCCTCCAACACCGTCTTGAGCTCTTAAATTTCAAGAACACCACGGTTCTTTCTCAATGTATCTCCTGATTAACGTGAACTCGAACGTGTGGACGTTTTAATGGGTTTCTCAACACATGAGATGGATGAATAGGAAAGCCACCTATAGTTATCACTCACTTTTCTCAAAAGTATATGATGGCACTCAAGAAATTTTATTTAGTTTTTCTTTTTCTTTCTTTTTGTTCTCTCTGGAAAAAAAACTTTTATTTTCGTTACTCCCTTATCCCCAGAATTCATCCCCTTATTGAGTAACACTATGTTTGGTATGAATGAAAAGTGGAAGGAAAGAAAATGTTGGAGGGATTTTAGGATAGAAATTGATAAATTAACTTGTTTGGTAGAAAGAAAATTGGGAAGGAAAAGAAAATTGAAAGGAAATTATAATGGGTGGGTCCCACCATATTTAATCTCTCTAAAAGTGGGAGGATTTTAGGAAGAAAAATAAATCTCTCACTACCTTGCTTCTTGTTTCGTTCTCTCTCTTCCTTTTTTTTTTTTTTTTTTTTGCTTTTGTTTGTCTAATATCTTGTATGTTAATTAATCTCTCACTGTCTTGCTTCTTCTTGTTTCGTTCTCTATCTTTTTTTTTTTTTTTTACAATTTGCTCGTCCATTTTTTTTTTGTCTAATATTAATGTTGTATGTTAATGGCTTGCTCTTGAAGATAATGTACAACAATGAAGACTGAAATCATATGGTTTAGAAGTTTAGTAGTCACACCAGTTTATAGCCCTTTTAGTAAATATATCTATATGGTACTTAGTTGATCGCACATAATTTTTGTTAATACTTGACTGCAGGTGAATATTGAGAAATATATATGACCATACAAACTAATACTTTTGTGGAAAATTTCGCTTACTTTACAATAGTGGATGCATTGTATATTAGTCACTTTTTTGTTGTATTTGAAACTTCAACAAGTTGTTGTATTTAAACTGTAGCTAGCTACTCTTTTGTTGTATTTAAACGTTAAAAAAATAAATGATGCATTAATGCTATATAAGTTAAACTATGTTTTTGTACCTTTATATATATGTATATGTGTGTATAATATAGATGGAATATATGTTCAAGTTACATGAATTTTTTGAGTTAATTTGATGTTGAATATTGTATTATTTATACTTTTATTATAAAATAATATTAATAAAAAACATTTAGGTAAAAAAGTAATTACACAAATAATAATTTTTCCATCTCTTTAGTTTCACTTCCAATACCAAATAAGGGAAGGTAGATTCATTTTCTTTCCTTCCTATCATACCAAACAAGTCAAGGAAAAATCAAAATCTTTTCTATCCTTCTAATTTTCTATGCATTATAGTTTTCCTTTCCCTTATATTTTCTTTCATTCTTACCAAACAGAGCATAAATGTGCAACCGCACATTTACTCCATTTCCTCAGGTGAGAAAACGTGCAACAACATGTTTCTTCCCCCTCCCTTTTTTTTTTTTTTTTTGAGGAA